ACACAATGGAATGTTATAGTGCAATGAAAATGAACAGTCCACAGCCAAATGCAACAATATGGTCAACTCCCCAAAACACAATGTTGAGCAAAGAAGCTAAAGCACAACAAAAGTATATATTATATAATTCCATTTATATAAAGAACAAAAAACAACCTATGCTGTAAGAAGTCAGAATAGTGGTTATCGTTGAGGATGCGGGGGGCTACTGGAAGCCCCGTGTATGTATGTTGGGATGGCTTATGGGATGGGAGTACTGTTGATATTCTGACTCCTACTCTGGGTGCTTGTTATGTTGGTTAACTACGGTATGTGTACTTTTCTGCGTGTATTTATTTCAAAACAGTGATACTCAATATATGTAAAAAAAAAAAAAAGAAAATACATATTTCACAATGGTACATTTACCATAGATCCATTTTTGTTGAAAAGCACATGACTGTACAGAGCAATGCCGGGCAGAATATACACTTAAATAATGTTAACAATGGTTAGCTCTGGGTAATTTTTTCCCCTTTCTTTTCTTTTACCTATTAAAAAAAATCTTCCATACTTCCCATATTCTTTTTACAATGTATAACCTTTATCTTTTTAAAATCCTTACCAAAGGATATACTTTTAAATTGATTTTAGAGAGAGAGGAAGGGAGAGAGAAACACTGATTGGTTGTTGACTCTTGTATAGTCAAAATCTGCAACCTTTTAGTGTAAGGAGGGCTCTGACCAACTGAGCCACCTGGCCAGGGCTACAGTGTCTTACTTTTACAAAAACAAAACTATACCTAATTGCATTTTATGAACTGCAACATTTAAGACTCCACACCTACTCTGGGACAAAAAAATGCTATTATATGCTGGGAAATGGAGAAAGGGATTAACCATCACTCAACCATAAAAAAATAAAAAACTTTTTATAGAACCATTCCAGCACAAGAAAAATCCTGAATTGCGACATCAAGACTTACATTCTCAACAATCCTGTGTGCAACTAACACCCAAGGATTATCAAGATTAGGTGAGTACCAGGATTACAGAAGCACACTCCAGACATCTAGTAAACATGTTTAATGCCCTCTGTACTAGGATAACTGTAAGCCATTTACAACCACTACGATCTTGCCTGGGCCATGGCTTCTCAGGTTTGGCATTCTTTGCTCTCCCCCTTGTACTCTTAGACTGCTCATCAGGTCTGGAGGCAAAGGCAAGACTTTCTGGGACACGAGCTCCTTGCTGGCTGCTCTCAGTTGTCTCTGTGCACCTAAAACATGAATCACTCTAAGCCTGCCTCATTTCTGAACTGAAATGGGCTTTGGTCTCACCAAACTGCTTTGTTTCTTTATATACCACAACACTGGACATCAGTGCATTTTAAAACCAACATTCGAGCCCTGGCTGGCGTAGGTCAGTGGATTGAGTGCGGGCTGCGAACCAGTGTCGCAGGTTCGATTCCCAGTCAGGCCACATACCTGGGTTGCAGGCCATGGACCCCAACAACTGCACATTGATGTTTCTCTCTCTCTCTCTCTCTCTCTCTCTCTCCCACCCTTCCCTCTCTAAAAATAAATAAATAAAATCTTAAAACAAACAAACAAACAAACAAACAAACCCCACCCAAAACCCAACATTCATTATGAACTGGAATCAGATTGAGGTCTATTTCGATGTTTATGAGTTGAATCTAAGAACATTTCTACCAGTCAGCCAAGTTCATTAAATATGAGGACAGCTGGAATTTAAATGACATCCATACCACTGGCTCACAGCTCTGCACCACCACTGAAAACGGAAACCACAGGAGATTCATAGTCTCACCACGTGCTCTTGAAGCCAGACTTATAAATGTCCCAAAACCAGAATCTTGCTTTCACTAATACTGGCTCTGAAGGACAGGGTATGTTTGCAGCACTCTTCCTCAAAAGGGTAGAATTATCTCAAGAGCAGTCAGAGACTGGAACCTCCATGTCTAGTTTCCTAGGGCACATTGGTTGGCTGCCTGCTGCTGGCCTCTGCTGCTCAAAGCTACATTCTCCCTTACTTCCCTCACTTGATCAACTCCTACGCAGGAGATACCTTTCAAGAAGTTGTCCCTGTGTCTCCATCTTGAGAGAAGGTAAGGCAGCCTCTCTGAGCAAATCCCTATTTAGCATCCTCAGAATCAAGGATAATGGTACTACTCTACTTTTGTAAGTTTGAGTCCAAATGTACTAATACTTGTCATCTTTAAAAACACAGTTAAAACAGGTAAACTAAGCAAACTGGAGACATCTGAGCTCCTTTAAGAGATTAGTCATCTTGATTATATTGTGACACTCTCCCCATTGTCAGTTTAAACTAGCTTATAGTCTCTAAATTAATAGGGCAGGAGTATTCTGCAACACTGAATCCAGACATTAGATCTAAACTGTTAACAAAGGGGCTTACAGAAGGAAAAGGTTTTTCAGGCAGATAACCCAGGGACAACATGTAAATCTGAGACACAGACACTACACATGTCCATTTCCTGTGTGCTAGGAACATAATACTCAATCTCAGTACTCACAGCAGTCAAACCCTGGAGGAATCTTAAGTCTCACTCTTTGCCCCAAATTGTCCTGCAGGTATGTCCCATCCCCCACCACCCTGCACATAATCTTTTCACTCTCTTCACACCCCAGTCACAACCTGAATATACTGGATTTGGAAGGATGGGGAAATGAAAAAAGAATCCTCCTGATCCTGAGAAAACTTCACCAAGGCTCTTAAGTGACAGGGCTAGATTAGATGAACCAGCTGTAATGTTTTAAAACTGTCTTTCTACAAATACCATATGATCTCACTTGTATGTGGAATCTAATGAATAAAACTGCCAAACTGGATGGAAACAGGCATGGGTACATGGAACAGACAGGTGTCAGAGGGGAAGGAGGGAAGTGGACTGGATGAAAGGCGACAGCATTAGCCAAAGAAAATACATGCATAACTCACAGACGCTGACAACAATGTGGTGACGATGGCAGAGGGAAAGGGGGCAGGCTGGAGATGGGCAAGATGGGGAAAATGGGGGCATCTGTAACAGGATCAACAACTTAAAAAACAAAAAACACTCCCCTCCTCCCCCCAAAAAACCCTGTCTTCCTATACCTGGCTGACCATAACTACCTGTGGGGCTTACTTATTTTTCAGACTATAAGACACACTTCCCCCGCCCCAAACTTGGAAAGAATAACGGTTGTTAATGCTGTTGTTTACATTTACATTGGTGAAATGTTATTTATGTTATTAAATATTTTAGCACATTTTTCGCTTCAAAAATCTTTCCCCTATTTTCCTCCGCTAAAATCTAAGTGTGTCTTACGGTCCCCCCCAAATATGGTAACCTGATTTCCAGGCTCTATTAAACTTCAGAATCAGACTCTCCAGGTATGCAGCATGGATATTTGTACTTTAAAAATGTTGACACTGCCACTGAAGTGAGGTTCTGTTATACCTGTCTTTTTGTGTCCTATGTAAAGTTGGGGCAGAGAGCAGAGTAGAGTTAATTCCCCACTGATTGTCTTCTGAATTCGGCTAGTATTTCTCTAGGTGGACAGGCCATGGCTGCACTTTGGGCTGGATGATTATGTGGTGCTATCCAGCAGTGTAGGACATTTACCATGCCTGACCATTACTTTTTATGACAACGGTATTTCCTAGTCATTGATTGGGACAACCAAAACCACCTCCCTCACAGTCCTAAATACTCCCAGGATGGTCAGTTCAGCCCAATAGAGTCAGTGAGCTGGATGCTGGATTAATATCTCTATCTCCCTACACTTTACATTAAGTTCCACTTTTGGTAGGAGAAAGGGTCTGTCCAATAGGTGATTTTAAGAGGAGCCAGCCCTTTCCTCCCTCTTTTGCACTTGCCTGCCCACAGAGGGAGCATTCTATCCTGAGGTTTCCCACTTGGTTGTCCCCTCCTGTCAGATTTGAACTTAGGTGTGGTCTCCACTCTGGAGGGAGAAAAGGGTGCTTGGACTTCTGCCTTTATCTAAATTCCTCCAGCAATAAACAAATCTTAGAATAAGAGAAATTAATTTAGTTAGAGAATATAAACACGACCATAATTCTGCTGACACTTTAAAGATGTCTTTCATTATCTTTCTATATAAGAGAGTATTACTGTTCAAAGAGAAAGAACTTTGACGAACATTTTTTATTGAAGAGTTTTATTCTGTCTCAGATTAAGAACCTTGCTTTAATATTGTAAGGTGCACTGCAGGTATGCCATGCTGTTAGTTATTACTGGGGCACCAAGTGCCGTAAGTCAGTGACCCAGAGGGCTTTGAAAATGTGTGAATTCATACTTTTGGAGCATGTAAAACTGGTATTTACAGTTTTTCTTCTTGAAATCGGCCAAGGACATCTGAAACAATCTACAGGTATTGCCATAGCACTTGCTTTGATGTTCAGAATGACTCAGAAATGTGTTCAATGTCATGATTTGTGGGTCCTCCAGAAGGTTTTGTTAACATGCAAGCAAACAGTATTAAGCAATATTATGTAAATTATGGCTGCCAAGTACTAAAGCTTAATAATGAAACCAAATTACAAAACATTTTCTTGTACAGCTATACAAAAGATATAAAATTAAAAATATCAACCATCTTTTAAGGATTCCAATTCTTCTACAGTGCCATTTCCCACATCTTCATCACTACTAAATAGTTTCAAGAGAAAGTTAATAAAATAAAAATAGATAAAAATATCAAAATCTTTAGATCCCTTTATTTCATGGCATCCATAAAAACACAGAAGTGGCCAGATTTTTCCCTGCTATAGCTTAAAATATCATAAAAGATTTATTAGTATTTTGTATTAGCAATGAACTCTATTCTGAGTCATTTGTGGATTATAGGCCTAAGACCCGTGTTATATTTCATAGGTTGCCAAAATAATTTCTAACACTTTGACTCCTCTTGAATAGGAATGGAATGAGTCAACTTATTACAACAAAATTCCAGGCATTATCAGAAGAACAGGTTAGTGATGCCTAGTTTTATTGTCTTAAAAAGGAAGGGGAATTACTTATTTGAAAATACAGCTAAGTACATACTTATCTATGATTATTTACATTCATATACTGAAAATATCTATTATTTGGACAAATCCTGTGATGTGCCATTTACTATAAAATTAAGTTCTTCCAATGAGCATGAGTAATTTATTTGTTTATGTAAAGAAAGAATGTATCAAATCTTTGTGTTCCAAACATTAAAAATGAAAATAAAAAATCTTAAGCCTGGAAAACTATGAATAAAAGACCCACCCATAACTTTGCTTCTCAGAACATCAACTTCTGCAAGGACACAGTATGTTTGCTGACTTTAAAATGTTTATTCTTTAAAAAATTAGTTGCTTTTTATACAGCTATACAAAGTTCTTAATGTTTCTTTGGCAATGGAATATAATGGAATTTTACAACTATATAAAAAAGTTACCTTTGCCTAAGAAACAGTATTTACTGTGTGTACATCGACTGACAAAATTCTCTACCACCCAGCAACCTAATTAATTGACGAAATAAGCTACCTCAAAAAGGATGTTACAGGGTTTAAAAAAAAAAAAAAAAAAAAGGAAGGGAAAAAGACACGCACACGCACACATAACCTTCTGTGGCTCAAAACACAGTATCACGGCCCTATCTGCAGGCAAGTTGCAATAATTGCCAAATACAATTTAATGATAAGAAAAATCCTTTCAATGATGAAAAAATACTTTATAAGTCCAAGTACTGCTTTAGTTTAACTATACATAAGAAATTACTTAACCTTCTGCTATTTCAAATATATTTAATGCTCATTTTTAAAGATGAGCTGCCCCCCTTGCCCAATATAACTGTATTGTATCTTTGAAATTAAGCAGAAAAACAAACAAACAAACAAACAAACAAACAAACGAACAACAAAAACCCAGTGCTGGTGACAAATATACAGCGAATTCACTTCTTCATTCTTGGTAAAGACTGAAACCAATTCTCAGGACCATGAAGAACTAGAAATTCACCTATTTTCAAAGACTTGTTTGTAGACTATGCAGCAACTTTGTTGTCTTTCTAAAAAAGGAAAAAAAAATCAGCTTATGTTTCAAATTACTCATTATTAATAATTACTTCTTTCTAATTTGCTTAAGTATATTTTATGTTAACTTTAAATATACCCTCCTTTTACTTGTACAAAAATCTGTACCACTGAATTCCAGAAAGTACTTTTAACAACTTCCACACATAGCAGGATCTCACTGTTAACTGCATTTTCTCATTAGCAGAGTTTAAAGCAGTGTTGTTGTAGGCTGGCCCCTGTAAGAAGCACCCCCCTCTAAGATACAGGTGTACCCCACTACCTTTGTTTGCCACCCCAATAATCTTTAAGAACAATGACAAAACTTCAACCTTCAACATACTAGTCAAATTCATCAAATACAACCAACAACGTATTTTGGAAGGTTAATAAAATCCTAATAAAATAATAAAATCTAAGTCTTTGATATCTTTACTAAGTAATAAAATATTCAGACAGTAAAATAACATTTCTTGCCAAAGGATCATAGCAGAAGAAAGCAGTGATTCAGAAATGCATTCTAAAGGATAACTTTTACATTTGAAGTAAGTTCTGAAAATCAGAGAGTTGACTGGGAAATTCCAAAAAGTAACTAGGGAAATAACAGTAAAAATCCCAAGGAGCCTCTAGCTTTCCAGTGAGACTAACCCTAAACTAAAGGCCTGTACACACACAGTATCAGAGCCAGGGGCTTCCATTTTCCTCAGGACTGGATGCTACCAAGTACCTTGCTTTTACTGAGGATTCTCATCCTGATTATTAGAAATACGCATACCCTGTTAAGGACTTAACTTGATCTCCTCATTCAACACCAAACCATTTGTACAATGTTATTAAGTTGGAATACATATAGCATGGTGTAAGTTGGTGCTGAAAGAATTAAGCTGAAGATGATCCCGCTAATGGTCCCGCCACTCCCTACCAAAGCCAACCTTCATATGCCCCAATTTCTTTTTTTAAGTCTTTCAGAAAGCTATTCGATTAATCCAGACATATTAAGGTCCAAAAGCTGTGGTTTTCTAAAAGGAGAAAAAAAAGAAAAAAGAGGAGAGAAGGAAAAAGGGGAGACAGAGGTAGAGAAAAGGGTGAAAGGGATGGAGAGAACCAACAATGAGTTATTTGGGATACCTCATTGTCTCTGGACACTCTCTGAAGAAAAACACACTCAAATGCGAGGCAATCTGTCTCATCTACCCTGGTGGCTTAACCTCTTCACAGCAGCATATAAAATAGTAGCTGGCTGTCTTCCTATTACCCTTGGCCTGATTTCTTCACCCCAAAAAAAGAAATAAAAGGAAAGCACCATAGGACCAAAATCATTATAGGTTTATGTTTCTGACATTATTCTTAAGGAAAATCAGGCTGGAAATCAAAGACAGTAAGTTTTGACTTTACTGTATATATCAGCTTGTACCTGTATCAAGAGAGTTAACCTCTCTGGGTCTTTGCTTTCCTAAGCATGTATTGGGGTGGGGTGGGAGAGAGGTTCAAGTTTTGCTGACATTTTAAAAGAGTTCTAAAATCTGATAATCCTATCAAACCCATGTTCTCATTAAACAATCAGATTTGCTTATGGTCACATTAAAACTGTAATGCTTCATGCCACAAAAAACAAAGCCAACCATTACATGAAGGCTGCTGCAAATTCCACTGACATCAACTTCTGAGAGATATCAGATGCTTGAGAAATGAGTTTAATCTTTGCAGGTAAATCTTTATCTAATAGTCATCACTCACTATTTCTACCTTTATAGGTGCCAGATGACATAATTTAGAAGGCATAGGCTGCTGAGAAGGCTGGGGCTTTCCTGGCAGGCAGAAGGGTCATTCAACTGGAATAGAAAGTCAAGGACTAGCCACACTTCAGCATCATTTAAAGGCTAAAGTAGTGTACTCCTACATAACAAATGCTAAGCATTTACTTCGAGCTCATTATGCTCCATGGTGAGCAAAGTGTTTTGGTAAAAAATGTAGAATACATATTCAATGATGCCAAGAGGCCTGTATCTAGCCCAGGGGTGTCAAACTCATTTTCACTGGGGGTCACATCAGCTTGTAGTTACCTTCAAAGGGCTAAAATAATTTTAGGTCTGTATAAATGTAACTACTCCTTAACTGTTAAAGAGTTGAAATTAGGGACTTCCGGCAAGATGGAGGAATAGGTGGACGTACTGTACCTCCTCGCACAACCAAGACTAGAACAACAATAATTTATAGACAGAATATCACTCAGAACTGATAGAGGATTTATCTGAATGGAAGTTGGATAGCCAAGAAGTTGAAGTAGACCCGTACATCCAGACTGGTAGGAGACGATGAGCCAGGCGGTGTGGGGCTGGCGCGGGTCGGAGGTGCGCAAAGGTCGGGGAAAATTTGGTGCGAAATCAGCGCGACAGCCATCAGGGGCACAAGAATGCAGCGGTGATCCCTGAGTACGCAAGCTGCGGTTGGCGGACCCAGTGAAGCAACGATTGTGGACCAGGGCAGAGCTTGCAGCCCAGGATCTCAGAGAAGGGTCTGAGCCCAGGAGAAGGGAACTACCACCATTGTTCCCTCCCGCCCCGGCCCGACGTATAACGTCACAATCTAGCAACTGGGGTGCCCAGCCCCGGTGAACACCTAAGGCTCCGCCCCCCACTGTAACAAGAGCGACCAGACCGGAAAAAAAAATAAGGAGAGACAGGGAAAGACAGAAGACATGTTTCCAACAGAACAGATCAGTCCCCCAGGACTCATCCTTTTGAGCAACCAAGAAATAGCCAATCTATCAGATGCACAGTTCAAAACACTGGTGATCAGAAAGCTCACGGAATTGGTTGATTTTGGGCGCAATTTAGATGAAAGGATGCAGGTTACCATAAGAGATGCAGGAAGATACGCGGAGGAGAGCCAATAGTGAAAGAAGGAATCTGAGTCTCAAAACAATACAGTGGACCAGAAGGAAGATAGAATCAACCAAGCAGGAAAGCATGATGAAATAAGAATTCAAAAAATCGAGGAAAAGCTTAAGAGCATCCAGGACACCTTTAAATGTTCCAACATCCGAATTATAGGGGTACCAGAATGGGAAGGAGAAAAGCAACAGATGGAGCACGTATTTGAACAAATAATAAAGGAGAACTTCCCCGATCTGGCAAAGGAAACAGTCTTCCAAGAAATCCAAGAAGCTCAGAGAGCTCCAAAGAACTTGGACCCAAGAAGAAACACACCAAGGCACATCATAATTACACTGGCCAAGGTAAAAATGAAGGAGAGAATCCTAGAAGCAGCAAGAGATAAGGGAACAGTAACCTACAAAGGAGTTCCCATCAGATTGTCAGCTGATTTCTCCAAAGAGACCTTGCAGGCAAGAAGGGGCTGGAAAGAAATATTCCAAGTCACGAAAGGCAGGACCTACATCCCAGATTGCTCTATCCAGCAAAGCTCTCATTTAGAATGGAAGGGAAGATAAAGTGCTTTTCAGATAAGGTCAAATTAAAGGAGTTCATCATCACAAAGCCCTTATTTTATGAAACGCTAAAGGGACTTATCTAAGAAAAGAAGATAAAAGACATGTATAGTAAAAGGACAGCAAACTCACAATTATTAACAACCACACCTAAAGCAAAACCAAAAGAAACTAAGTAAACAACTAGAACAGGAACAGAACCACAGAAATGGAGGGCACATGGAGGGCTAGCAGCAGGGGGGTGGGAGGAGCAGAGAGGGGGGAAAAGGTATAGAGAATAAATAGCATAGAATGTAGGTTGAAAATAGATAGGGGGAGGGCAAGAATAGTACGGGAAATGTAGAAGCTAAAGAACTCATAAGTATGACACATAGACATGAACTAAAGGGGGGGAACATGGGTGGGAGAGGGGGTACAGGATGGAGGGGAGAGAAGGGGGGAAATGGCACAACTGTAATAGCATAATCAATAAAATACATTAAAAAAACAAGAGTTGACATTATATTTGGCCCTTTGAAGGCAACCATGAGGCTGATGTGGCCCCTGGTGAAAATGAGTTTGACACCCCTGTTCTAGCTGGTGATGAAGAACAAAACACAGTAAATAAGGAACATGGATGTATTTAAAATGTATGCTAATGAAAGCAAATATTGCAAGAATGTGAGGAAAAGAAGAAATCAGTGGAGGAAGAAAGAGAAGTTTCCAGGGATAGAGGAAACCTTAGGCAAGAATGTGAAGGGTAAGTGAAAGGGAGACCCTGACTTTTGGCTGTCTGACTTCCCAGTGGACTATAAACACCAAGAAGGCTGGGGCCAAGTCTGTTCTGCTTTGCACCAATGTGCAGCCCAGGGCTTGGCATCTATGAAGAATTCAATATATGTGGTCAATGAATGAGGTCAGAGTTGGAATCAAGCACAGTAAGAGATGAATCAACTTGGCGTGAATAAGTTAAAGGGTAATGAGAAATGGGGCTGGATATGTCAAGTGGGACCCTCATAGTAAGAAGAGGAGGCAATGCAATGTCACATTAAAATCTTTTAACCACTCCTCGAAACATCCAAGATTATTTTGTCAGGGATACACTAGTGCAGATAAAGACTTATAAAGACTACCTCTACGATGCATTCTAATTCTGCCATATACAGGGTTGGGCAAAATTAAGTTTATAACTGTTCATTTGGAAAATAATTCAATAAGTAATAAGAATAACCTTTTGTGTACTCAACAACTATAAACCTATTTTGCCCCATCCTGTATGTGATAGGGGTTTTAACTAAAGGCTCAAAATGACTCCACAGTGAGATATGGCTTCAAAAACATGTTTGCACTGATATTTACGCATGCATTTATCACGCGGTACAGTGGTTACTCAAAGTTTAGTTATAGTGAAGTAACAGTCAAATCTTACAGACAACATGACAGCTAATTCTTTCAAATATATAAAAAATTATGAAGAGTATATATACTCTGTGTGTTTACAAAGACAGAGTTAAACTAATAGTTTGAAGATACAGGAAAAGAATTTTCACTCAGATTGTGTGTATGCCTGTGAAACCCAAACAATTAGCATATCCCTGGAGTGGAATGATGCCCTCAGGAAGAGTAAGGTCACAGCTCCTACAAGGGATACTACAGAAATGGTGGACAATTTGGCCAGGAGGTCAGACCTCTCACTTTCCAACTCTGAGACTTAATGATCTTTAAAAGGTGCATCTGAGATAAAGACTATGCAATTCTCTTTCCACAAATGCCAACACTGAGAGCCTGAAAGGTTTAGCAACTCAGCTGAGGTCACACTAGCAATAATTACTAAAATTCTCATTCCAACCCAAGTCTAATTTAAATGTACTTTCTCCTCAAACCAAGCTGACTCAGTGTAGTCTTCAACAAGGAGTTGTAGTAATTTCTTCAACAAGTAGATGATATGCCTGAAGTGAGGTAAAGAGATGGAAGGTCTGAAGATCAATCAGTGGGTGACTGTGGCAGCTGGCAGGGACATGTCAAAGGAATAAATTTATGATGTGGAAATGGGTCATGATTGTGCATACTGCCACCACCAGGACACAAAAGGAACAGTATATTACTAGCCAATCAAACATTGGGAAGAGGCAAAGCTGAGAGGATGGGAAGGCAAGGAGATGATGAGATCATTCTGAGGAAGGGTAAGAGGGTAAGTTTAAGTTGATCACAGACATAAAGCAGATGAAATGGAGCAATGCAGGTAGAAGCATACCAGGTCCAAGCTGAAAAACTGATTAGAAGGTATACATCCACAAGTTCACAAAGGGAAAGGGGAAAAGGAAAAAGTGAGAGAGGGAGGAGGGAAGGCAGAGAGAGGGAGAAAGAGGGGGAGAGATAGAGAGAGAGAGAGCGCGAACACATTCAGGCATGGCTTAGCACTTGCAAGAGTGCAAACATGAGGATGAATGTTTGTAATAAGAAGCAAACTGAATGTTCCAGGCAGAAAGAATAGATAAAAAAATTCCTGAGATAGGAATAAGCTTGTCACTAAACAAGAGCAAGAAGGCCCACATTAACTGTGGCAGAGTAAATGAAGGGGAGACCCACTGGCAAAAAGGACTACAGACAGCACTAGACTTAAACTGGAAAAACAGGAAGATCAAGAAGCACCTTATAGGCTGTGCTGAGAAACGTGCTGCTGTGTTTAAAAAAATCAAGTGTTAAAAAAATAGATTTCAAGATAGGGATGGTCACCAGTGTCAATTATTGCAGGGGAATTAAGGGCAAATATTTGTGAAAAGGCTACGAATTCTGTAAGCAAAATGTCACTGGCAAGAGCAGTAATAGTGACAAGTGAAAGACATTTTCTTGTCTTTCAGGTGCAATAAAAGTTTTGCAAGTTAGAAGTGCTGCAGGATCCATAGGCTACCATGGCTGGATAGACTGAGCTAATGAAGAGGCCATCCTGGCTGTGATGAGACAATACCATACCACAGGCATCAAAATTAATACACCATATCCAAAAGCCACTAAAACTGAACATTTAAGGAGGATCTCAACAACTGTCAGTTTTAAATATTGGACAGTGAAATTCCTGCCAGCAGATCTTTTTGTTTCTAGCTGCCCTTGGCAATCCCTAGACTTCTTTACAAGGGGATTCTGATCTTTCTGTGATTATATACCTTCCTCTCCACTATCCCTACAAATCAATAAACTAGGATAATGAAACTGATTTACAGACTCCTTTAAATAAATAATACATATAAATATACTATACAGAGCTATACAATTTTCTAGCAACGGTTCCCAAATGTCAGTATATCATGAGATTTTCAAGACCATGACAAAATAAGAAAATGTAATTGAGTTTTCCACAAAACTAAATTAAGTGCACTGACTGAGAAACAAATTTACTAGGTTCAAGACTTAGCATCATCACTTACTAGATAATTTGGGCAAATTATTTAATATCTCTATACCTATTTCCTCATTTCTAAAATGGGGATTAAAAAAGAAAACCTACACCACAGAATTGCTATTAGGTTTAAGTGAGTTAATGAAAAACATTTAGAACAATGGCTAGTACATGAAAAGTACTATGTAAATGTTAGTTGCTATTAAATGCATAGGTTTGTCTTCCATCGTAAAGTACACCCTTCCTAGACTCTTTTGGTGTTAAAGCATACTTTGTAATCTGAAATACAGATGGTATAATACTTTTTTGGATAATGCCTTTAATGATCTCCTGACCCTCTAGCAAAAAATAGTTTTTAAAAGAAATAAAAACAACAATAAAAAGAAATAATCCTAAGTCAGTCTCTAATAGTTTTTTTTTTTGGAGAAAATTTTACCAGTCCATAAAATCTAAAGCCATAGTTTTATAATAGACAAAAACCACTTATTAGCCAAGAAGTTACTGCTCTGTAAAATTATATAAATATCCTAATCAGGTAAAAATAAAAGTTATGCAAATGCCCTAAAAATGTTCACTCAAAACAGATAAAACACTTCGAGTTTCACTAAAATGAATGCTGTTTGTTTGGGATGTAGTTTTATGAAAAGCATATATTTACCCTATATTCAAAATCTGCAAACTCCCTGCCCCCACGACCTCCTCTGAATCCACCACGAAATCCTCGAGGGGTGGTGAAGGTACCACCTCTGCCACCACCACGCCCTCTGCTACCACGGAAACCAAGACCTCCTCTGCCTCTGTACCCCCCACGGCCACGGTTTGGACGAAGTGGGATTCCAAATGTTTCAGCATTTAATCTTCTTTCTTCAGCCCAGGTTGGTCTTCGTTCTCTATTATAAGAACAAATAATCTTTAGTGTATATCAAGTTTTAAAGGACATTTTCAAGCAAAACTATGTACCACTAATTTCTAAATTAAGCTGAAGCAATCTCTAAAGATCAGGTAAGAACAAGCACCTTATTGAAATTATCACGAGCTATGCACGGCAATATCTCCTAATATAATGTTAAATTTCATGTGAAAATATGACTAGTATTTAGATTCTTGCAAATACAATTGATAAAACAAGGAACCTGGTAACAGCACTGATATAATGGGATTGGCAATTAACTCCACCCTCCACTCAGCCCTAGTGGAAGAGAAGGCAAAGCCAGTAAAAGAAACTGTCTCAGGAATCTGGGAGCAGAAGGGTGGGTCCCTGAATTCCCACTATGATCCTGGTCCAATTCCTGGACCTGATGCCTGAAGCAAGCCTCTGAATTGCTGCTTGTTGCTCCTATTATACAGCCCAATCACAGGGCTCAGAATCCCATTTAAACTGAAGTAGACGACTGCCATCAGGTGGCACTAAAGTGTAGCCAGCAGAAGGACAATTTGGATTGGTCAGCAGAAACCCTGAAACTCTTCAGTTTGTTATGCTATGTCCTTTAATTAACCTGGCAATTTTCTGGATCCACATTGACTGAAATGTGGCAGAGTTTTACTACATCAGCAAACTTCAAAGTAGCATTGGTACTTTTGGCCCTGGCTTTATTTGAACTACATTGTAGAGGGGTAAAGTAAAAGGTCTTACTTAGATGTTAGATGACCACTTCTGCTTTAATTACTAATTTTAATTTTAGTACAGTTATTTTCTTTTAACAAAACATTATAAAATAATAGTCATTAGGTATTTTTAAGCAGTCATTAAACTTTGTGAATTTATAAGAAATTATTTCACACTTCAACCTCCTAAGAACTTAAGAGGCAGCTTAAAAGACTGTACCTATTATCATCACAAGAAATATTATCAAAGAAGGATTTAGTTTTGTCATAATAGCAGTTAGGTCCGAGTGGATCTTCTTCATCTGCATTTCCTTCACTGTTTTGAGTATCAACTCCTGAGTCTCCTTTATCTTCACCATTTACAGGTTTCTCTTGTTTCTCAAGTTTATCTTCTACTGGGAAAAAAAAAGGGCACATACCATAAAAGTTATGACTTGTACTAAACATCGATGATCCACAAGTCAAATGAGAGTATTTTCTGAGTAGAAAATAAAAATTCACCTTTCAATTTGAGTTTATTATGAAACTCTCTGTCAATTTCTTCCTTGTTAAATTGTGCATTTGCACTTTCAAAGTCAAAGTCTTTCTCAAATTTCATAGGACCATCTCGCCGAATACCAAATCTTCCTCTGCCACCTCGATGACCTCCACGCCCTCTCCTTGGAGCTGAAGGAGCACCTGGAACTATGTTAATAAAGAAAAAAAATAAGCTGGTTTAAGACAGAAGTCATTATTATAGTTTTATATTAAATGGTCAACAGAAATGCTTACAAGTCTCTATACATTATTGTATTTTTATATAAAAATGAATCTTAACTAACATTTAATATATAACACACATGAAATTTATATTTATGAAGTCCACACTCATATATGTAACAGATACAATGCACAGCCAGACAATTTGGTACAAAATCACTGTATACTCCTTGAGGGCAGGGGCTATATTTTGCTCATATCCCTAATACTTAGAGTATGAAACACGAAGTGGGTTCTCAAAATTTAGGAGGCCTTTTGTGGAAAGGATCACAGGGACCAAGATATACACTAAGAGAAATAAATGAACATGAGTAAGAACAGACTACAAGGTAGGAGGTATTATTTCTACATCACAGATATCATAAAGACAAGAAGCACCAGGTCTCAACCACTCCAACCACTTCCTATTCCATCTTTATTGTCTCTCTCTAAGTGGCTCCATATTATTCAAGTCTTCTTGTACCTAGTCTTTTTCTGTAATATAATGATAACAGGATTTATAAGATATGATAAAGCAACACCAAAGCAGCATGAATTATAGTGAAAACTTGAGAATCCAAACATCCAAAGTAAGAGTAATAGCTAAAGAAACAATGTAAAACAGGAACATGGAATAGTACTTGATGTGAGTTAACAGAGCACAAAGCAGTATGGATTAAAAGATTACAGTTATGTACAATGTTTAATACATACTGACAAAGATCAGAAGTGACTACAGAGTGACAGATTTGTGTTCACTAAAGTCTGGAAAACTGCCCAAGTTTGAGAAAACAAATCACACCCCTCCCACCCCCAGCAGCATATGCAGGCACTTCAATCTAGTTAAACAGGGTATTTAAAACATTAAACTTTACTATAAAAATGCCATGGGCCAGAAGCCAGGAAGTACAGCATGATCTTTCTGTCTCAAAAAACCAAAACAAAACAAAAACCAAAAAACAAGTTTAACCCTGGCTGGTGTGACTCAGCCAACTGAACACTGGCCTGTGAACCAAAGAGTCGCTGGTTTGATCCCCAGTCAGGACACATGCCTTGGTTGAGGGACAGGTCACCAGTTGCGAGTGTGAAAGAGGCAACCACACATTGATGTTTCTCTCCCTCTCTTTCTCACTCCCTTCCCCTCTGTCTAAAAAATAAATCAAACCTTTAAAATTTCAAAACAAAGTTTTAATATAGTCTTCATCTGTAAATTTATAAGGAAAAATCTAACTGATTAACTACTGCTCTGTTAATGAGCCTCTGGATGATGAGTTTTGAAGAATGGAAGATACTTTTATTTAGTACTTGATATAATTTTTTTTAGATTGTCTTTATTTATTTTAGAGAGATGGGAAGGGAGGGAGAGAAACATCGATGTGCGAGAGATACCATCAATTGGCTGCCTCTTGCACACTCCCAACTGGGGACCTGGCCTGCAACCCAGGCATGTGCCCTGCTTCGGAATTCAATCTGTGATGTTTTGGTTCACAGGCCAGTGCTCAATCCACTGAGCCACCCCAGACAGGGCATATCGTATATCTTTTTTCTTTTAAAGAGAGGAAGGGACCGGGGTTGAGTAGAAAAGAAAGCACTGACGCAAGAGAGAAACACTGACTGGTTGCCTCCCACATGTGCCCCAACAGGGGACTGAACCTGCAACCCTTCAGTACATGGGACAAAGCTCCAAACAACTAAGCTACCTGGCCGGGGCTATTTTATATAATTTTTAAATGATGAAAGTATACTAATTATTTCATTTTGAGAGAAGGGGTTCTGTCTTTTTCCAAATTAAAAAGAAGTGCAATATAATAAATTAACCTTCTAAACTTTGTATTCTATGGCACATAGCACAAACAAAAACACATACAAAAAACGTACAGGACCAATGAGGTGTTTATACATTTAAAATACATCTAGCTTTCTAAAATTAAGTGAAAGATCATTTTCCAATTCTTATCTAAGTCAGGTGATTACACGTTGCCTTTTTTAATTTGAAAGAGCTTTAAATTCTAATTTATTCTATACTAATAAATTAGAAAATATTAATAAAATAGATAAATTGGGATAAATAATATAGATTACAAAGCAGATAAAATATACAACTTTATTAAGTCAGTAACCATGGAAGAAAGTTAAAGTTCTTAAACAATTACTTCAAAAAAGGCTTAGGGCTTAAATAATTTTAATGAGAAAACACCAAACTTTTAAGGTACAGATAATTTCATTTTTAAAAGCATAGAAAGCAATGAAAACAATTTTATAATGCTAATATGAAATGAACACAAAACTATAAAAAATGAAGACAAAAGAGAAAGCCATACAGCAACGTAAATAACTGTACAAATCCTACAAGCAGATTAACATTCAAGAATATAGTAAAAGACAAAATGCCTACTATCAAGTAGGGTTTATTCTAGAAATGTAGTGATGCTTAAAAGAAACTTTTATTTTAAAATAATTAGGGGAAAAAAACCTAAAAAATTATAGAGTGGTCCTACACCCACCTCCACCACCCAGCTTCTCTTCTAAAGCCAACATTTTAGTTAACTACTATATATTATCAAAACCAGGAAACTGACACTGGTACTATACAATCAACCACATTACAGATCTCATTCGGTTTTCAGCAACACTGCATGCACTCATTTTTTGGTAATCTTTATGTATAGCTCCTTGATATTTCGCCATACATATGGATCCACACAACTACCACCAAAAAATAAGATAAAAAACTGTTACCACAATGAAACTCCACTGAGCTACTGCTTTATAGCCACCAATCCCTGCCATTCATTTTTTTACTGTAATTATTCACTACACATTTCAAATGTTCTTTCTATTGAGAAGCATAAAATATGGATTTCAGATCCAAGTAACTTACCTATTTGTCTCTTGTTATCATTTCTGAGTTGCTCATTTTCTGGTCTTGAAACTTTGTGTACTTCAGCTATAAAGAACAGAGAGTAAAAAATTAACTCAGGACACATAATCAAAAATTTCTGTCAAGTTAGAAATGAGAAGAAAAAAAAAACACCCCAAAACAACCACCCTCAAATCTACACCCCCACCACCATCACTACTTTGAGCCAAATTTGAAAGAATGAACATTCTATCAAGTTCAGTTTAAACCTTCTAGGATCATTCATATAAAGTGTATCTTTTTAATGAAAATAAGGTGAATGGAAAATGTTGATGAGTCAATTAAGGAATTAGTAAATAGCTAAAGTTCTACCTCGCCTGTGCTCTTGATTCTCTATTGCTTTTTGGCTGGTAGATGGTAAAGGCCTGGTTGATACAGGGCTCCTTCTCCCAACAGGTGCCGGAGCAGGTAAGTGGGCCGAGGCGGTCTGTACTGCTTGTTCCATGGTAGGGCTTTTTCTCAAAGGATCTAACTGAGGACTTGAACGACCTAAAACGTAACCAAAAGATAAGAAACTACCCTATCCTTTGGGGATTTCAGAATAAACTAGACCCTGAAAAAAAAGTCTAGTTTTACTTCTACCAGTTCAAATCCTTAGCACAAATTTGAATTCATCTACTTACTAGACCAGAGTTTAAAACTGATTATCTTTGATGTGCTGGTCACTTAAAAAAAAAAGTAAAAACAAAACAAAAAACCCCAAAACAAAAAAGTCTGGAATTTTATTTGTATTTCTACCCATTGAAATAAGGTTTAAATAGTTTTTCAAAAATTTCTGCCTAGTACAAGATTCCCTAGGAGTATTACCAAAGATCATGCTGTAGGTTGGATGCCAGTTTCCCCCAGTAATAATAACCACAAGATTCTATTGATACTTTATTATTTCCAGAGGCTTTAATATTTTTAGTACTTTCTGGAGATATGTTTAAAGTGGTATCTTTGTCTACAGGTACTAGTTCCAATAAATTACTTCTATAAAGAACTAGAAAGTTAGGTGAAGTTCTTCAATACTTTAGGGTTTAGGTAAGCATCAATATTAAAAAAGGCCCTTTGGATAATTACACAGCAGTGATACTCATTCCTTGCCATTTAAAAGATCCCTCGTCAAGTTTTTGCTCAATATAGGTTTTGTACTTACAAAATGAACAGAAGAATGCAACATCAGGTGCTCCCATCATATTTGTCCCTATAATGTTTGTGATAAATCTCTGATCAAGGTATTCTCATATCCCATGATACTGCACCAAAATATTTTGCTTAAAATAAATTATGCTCATTTTATTAAAAAAAAATCCCAAATATGCTGCAAATGTCACTACCCACTGTGCATGTCTGCACAGGCTCCCAACAACTGGTGAACTGGCGAGTGGCAACAAAGCATTGGTTGTTATGCACTGGATGCTTCAGGAACCACTTATCAGTAATACTGTCGAAATTGATGGTTTCAAAAGTATTTATAGCATGCAACTGCAAATGTGTATCACCATTTCCCGCTATTAATGTCAAAGTTTACTCTGGCATTAATAGAAACACCGTAACTTTTCCATTGGGTATAATGGGGAATCATGGTGGTTTATGTAAATTTTGGCCTACGAGAAGACATTTTGTAATCACTGATGACCTTATAAAGGGGCTTAATTTATAAAATAAGTACTAAGTTTTAAAAAAATCCTATTGTTAAGTTTTATAATTCTACGTTAAATGTTCTTCTAAGTTTATAAAACTTACTTTATCAGGCTTTTCTTTAAGAAAAGACCCTACTGCAAGTATTGCACAACCACATGCAATAGGGCAATCACATCAAGAAAGAACAATTATTTGTGTACTTTCAAACCACTGTAATTAAAGTCTATTAGTCATGATGGCAATTTTGTTATGAATATGGAAATACAGGCCATACTAGACATATTATTAGGAATATAAACACAACAGCTATTTTAGCATAATAAAAACACACCCCTTGCACTCTCTTCCCATTCTTAACACAGATTTTAAAAAACTCTAGCTATTTTAATTCTGTAAAATCCAGAAATTATAGTTGGCAAAATTAAAATGCAAATTCACAGGCTTTCTCTGCCATTCTTTATATAAATATACCCCTTTCTTCTAATAAACAGAAATATGTATTTAAAATTTAAAAACTTTAAAATTTAGTTTAGTTCTAACTATGAGGGAAGGAATCTAGTTATTTTCCCCAAATGATTAGGCAATTTTGTCTGTCCCAACATTATTTATTGAACAGCTAGCTTTTCTTTTTTCATTTTATTTTTTAAAGATTTTATTTACTTATTTTTAGAGAGGGGATGGGAGGGAGAAAGAGAGGGAGAGAGAAACATCAATGTGTGGTTGCTTTTCGTGTTCTCCCTACTGGGGACCTAGCCTGCAACCAGGGCATGTGCCCCAAGACTGGGAATTGAACCAATGACCCTTTGATTTGCAGGCTGGCTCTCAATCCACCGAGCTATACCAGCCAGAGTTACCTTTTCTCTAATTTAAAAACAGTATCTCTATCATGTAGTAATTACTTAATTACACTTGGATGTGTTTCTGACTTTTGTTCATTCATCTCAATTTATTCCTACACTGCTTTATGTATACTTTATCATGAGGTAATAAGTAAGCCCTACCTCATTACTTTTTTTTTAAAGATTTTATTTATTTATTTTTAGAGAGGGAAGGGAGGGAGATAAAGAGAGCGACAGAAACATCAATGTGTAGTTGCTGGGGGTCATGGCCTACAACCCAGGCATGTACCCTGACTGGGAATCAAACCTGCGACACTTTGGTTCGCAGCCTGCGCTCAATCCATTGAGCTATGCCAGCCAGGGATTACTTTTTATTTTTAAACTATGTCTAGTTATATTCCATGTTTGTTTTTTAAAAGATTTTATTTATTTGTTTTTAGAAAGAGGGGAAGGGAGAAAGAAAGGGAGAGAAACATCGATTGGCAGCTGCCTCTCCTATGCATCCCAACTAGGGACAAAACCCTCAACCTAGGCATGTGCTTGATCAGGAATCGAACTGGCAATGTTTTGCTTTCTGTGACGACATCCAACCAACTCAGCCACACTGGTCAGGGCATCCACATTTATGTGTAAGACAGTACATATATGGGTTTAAATTCTCGTATCATTCCATTTAGATTTATTAAAAGTATAGTAAATCTAATTAATATGACAAGTAAAGCCTTCCCAATACTTTATCTCTGTATCTAGGAATAAGATGTTTCTCTAATTATATATATTATCTTATTAGGTATCTCTATTACTATTTGTATTTTTCTTCACAGAAATTGGTCTTATTTCTCATTATGTATTTTATACATAATTTCTATTTCTCATTATTAGGAACATCATATTTTATCCCCTTATCTAATTAGTAGGTTAGATTAGAACAACTACTGACTTTTGTACATTTACTTTACATTTTCCCTCTAATTTAAGTCCTTTATTAGTTCTAGTAATTCACTTTTCAGCGAATTCTTAATTCAAAGTAGAAAGTCATGGCATTGACAAATAATGTTAATTTTAGTATCTGTGCCAGATTCCTTTTTCATGTGTTCTAATTAAGCTAAAAACTCCAGAACAATGTTGAACAGCACTGACAATAGGCATCCTTATTTATGGTTTTAATAAGAATTCTTCTGGTGCTTTCGTATTAAGGTTAATGTCTGTTTTTGATTAAGTTAGCTAACATCTGAGCATGTTCTATGTGGTAGGCACTATGCTAAGGGCACTGCATACATTAAAAATTTATGCACAAGAAAATATAAATATTATTTTTGGGTAGGGAGACTAAGTATTTTAATTTTCTTTTTTATGCTTACTGTATTTCTAAATCTTCTACAACAAATCTTTAGAATATTTTAAAAGTTATTTTAAATCAATATAAATAATAGTAACTACAGATATTTCAAAAGTGAAGTAGACAGAATTATGTTTAGCATTAGCCTGATTTTACCTTCAGTGGCTTTAAAAAATAATTGTCTTGTGATTATAGTATCTGAAATGACTTCACATTATTTTTATTGAAAAGAAAACATCCAGCCCTGGCTGGTGTGGCTCAGTGAATTAAGCACCAGCTTAGGAACCTAAAGGTTGCAGGTTCAATTCCCAGTCAGGACACATGCCTGGGTTGTGGGCCAGGTCCACAGTTGGATTGATGTTTTGCACACAGCTGTTTCTCTCCCTCTCTCCTGCCCTTCTCCTCTCTGTATTTAAAACAAAAAAGTAAATGTCTACATAAAGCAATGACCTAATTACATCCACTTTGGTAGCAGATAAAAACAGATATGAAATCTTGGGACCACTTAAGACTGAGTGGGGGAAGAAAAAGAAATAAGATAGTTTAAGAAGCTTATTTAAGCCCTGGCTGGTGTAGCTCAGTGGATTGAGTGCGGGCTGCGAACCAAAGTGTCTCAGGTTCAATTCCCAGTCAGGCCACAGCCCCCAGCAACCGCAACATTGATGTCTATGTCTCTATGTCTCTCTCTCTCTCTCTCCTCTCTCTCCCCCCCTCCCCTCTCTAAAAATAAATAAATTAAATCTAAAAGAAGAAGAAAAAAAAAAAGAAGCAGCTTATTTAAATGCAGACCTCACAAGCCCCAGGGATTCTGTTGTAGCAGTTCTCATAATCTACCTTTTCAAGCACTCCAGACTATTTGGTTGTGGGTGGTCCACAACGAGAACTACTGCTCTAGATCAGCACCTTTCAACCTTTTTCATCTCACTGCACACATAAACTAATTACCAAAACTCTGGCATACCAAAAATATGTATTTTTTGCCCATCTGACCAAAAGTGCATATAATTTTGATCCATTCACTCTCGGACAACTACTGTGTTGGTTGTTGTCATTTTTTTTGACAATTTAAGGGAAAAGAGGTCAGTGCCCCTGAATAAACAGTCTGGAATTACATACTAAAAAAATTATTTTTTATTTTTTATTTTTATTTTTGGTGACAGAGAGGAATGGAGTGAGATCATGAGATGGAGAGACAGACATTGATTTGTTGTTTCGTTCCATTTATGTATGCATTCGTCGGTTGATTCTTGTATGTGCCCTGTTCAGTGATCAACCCTGAAACCTTGGTATATCAGGATGACACTCAAACCAACTGAACTATCTAGCCAGGGCCTAAAAATTCTTGCAGCACATTGGCTGAAAACCACTGCTTTAAATTCTGTGAGGATGGTAGGAAAGATGCAAGAGCATAATGAATAGTTTGTTTTCTCAGCTGTTAATTCAAATTCATTAAGGAGAGTTCATCTTCAGTGATGACTCTGAGATTAATTTAATATACTTAAGTATTACTATATAATTTATATTATGCTTTCTTTGTAAAAAAAAAATAGCAAACTTACAGAAAGTTCACCCTTTTGGTTTTATGATCTAAGAATTGTAAAGTCTAAATAGTGGAAATCATTCAGTAATATCCTTATTGCAACAGCAATTAGAAGAAAAGTTTTAAAACAATCAAATAGAAATTATACATGTGATTTGCAAGCTGCAAAAGTTCTTACATTCAGAGAAAGACAAAACCACTATAGAAGTTTAGAATGAAAATATTTGAAGGAAAAAACAGCTTACCTTGAGATAACTGTGTTTTTACAGATCTTGTATCCTGTGTAAAGGCTGAACCAACTGCACTACTTTGGGATAAGGTACCGCTGTTTGATGTTTCTGTTCCAAAGGATGTCAAGGAGCTTCCAGCTTCAAGAGATTTTTTAATGACAAAAAAAAAACAACACTTTTTTAAAACGTTAAATCTTTCAAGTATATATAGTAACATACCATCTTAATAATTTTCATCACCTTCCTGTATCACACAAGTTAATTATCCTAGAAATTAATGAAAGTGCATTAAAAATTAATTTGAGAAATCTTTGACAATAACGTATGGGAGAAAAGCAAGCCAATATATTCTCTAGAATCCCAGATGCAAAAATTTTTCTAACATATGCCATACTATTCTAAGCAGTTGTATGGATAAGACAGCAGGGACCCACATCAGACAGAAGTAGCAGAAATAGTACATTCTATACAAACATTAAAGTTCAATAATTTTAATACCAAGTATCTACACAAATGGCCAAATCAGCAGACAGGCCTATGAAGTGCTTTCCCAGCATTTCCAAGGTAAGACAATGGACTACAGTCCATTTTAATGCTTCTACTTAGGATGGCACTGTGGGGCTGCATTCTGCCTACAACAGGGCTGTCCAACTCATTTTCACTGGGGACGACATCAGCCTTGTGGTTGCTTTCAAAGAGCCAAAATAATTTTAGGATTATACAAAGGTAGTTACATTTGCTTGCCACCCATTTAGCAAACTCTTCTATATCCTTCATCTCTTCAGCTGAAATTACATTCAACCCTTTGAAGGCAAGCACAAGGCTGATATGGCCCCCAGTGAAAATGAATTTGACACCCCTGGCCTATAGCAACTACAAAGTTTTGGCAATGCAAGTAACAAATTCCTACAAAGGACTCAATTTTTTTGCTATGCTAGGTTAGGACAATCTTCTTTAAGTTTCTACGGTACTTACGAATCATTCATTTTTCATATGCTGTGCTGTCCTCTTACTTACTATTTAATCTATGTAGGTTTTCTCTGAGAGGAACTATTTCTCTCACCCTTCTCCCTACTCAAAATCCAATCTAAAGATGGTAGCCAGAGTAATCTTTTATGAAACTCAAATACTGCATAAGCATATTACTACAATGCTCAAAGCTTTCCACTGCTCTCAAGATAAAAAGTTCAAACTACCTACACATCTCCCCTTATATGCCTACTTCTCTTACCACTTTGCTTATTTTCACCAGTCTACTCCACAGATTTATCCATTTGCTTTTAAAATATTTGAAGACCATAATCATACCCATCACAATCTTCTCATTTTTAAGCAACTCCTGTTCCTTCAACCGTGACTCACCCTCACATGGTATTTACTCCCCATCCTTTGTCTCCTAAGTTAATGAATAGCGATCCTAAAATGGGGTATCAGGGTCTAGCACAGTATCTAAGAACTAATGGGACTCTCTTGCAGGTGTGATCCAGTCAGGATGCAGCCCCAGCTAGCCCAAGAGAGGCCTAATATAACCTCCCACAACATGCCCAGAAATGTTGGGATAGTGCTCTTAGTAACTCTGTAGGAAGTGGAATTCATCCCATTATTCCTACTATTTCTGGGCAATGATCAAGACGTAAGCCACTCTGATGATATATCTCTCCATGCTGTTCTGTGTTTCCTCACATGACTCAACCTCCCACTGCTTGCCCCCCAGTTAGCAAACTCTTCTATATCCTTCATCTCTTCTCTAAGCTGGTCATATCACACCCACATCCCTTCCCCAGTTCTGCTATTAATTTATTTCAAATTATTATTTTTTTATATGTATGGTGTGAAAGGAGGGTCAATGAAAATTCCCCCCCAATAGATATCCAGCTGCTGCAACATCATTTGTTAAAAACATCCCCAGCTGGTGTATCTCTCCACACCCTGCCCTTCTCCTTTATTGGAGACTGAATAAAATCTTTTCTCTTAAAAAAAAAAGAAAAAAAGAAAGAAAAAAGTCACATATCCCTATCTCTAGGGTCCTGGAAGGGAAGCTCAGTTGCTTAGAGTGTCATCCTGATATGTCTAAGCTAAGGGTTTGATTTCCAATTGGGGCACATACAAGAAGCAACCTATGAATGCATAAATAAGCAGAACAAATTGATGTTTCTCTCACATGCTGTCTTAAAAAAAAAAAGAAAAAGAAAAAAAGACGTCCCCCCTCTCCGTTGTACTATACTGGCATCTTTGTTTTAAATCAGTATTTAAATGGGTCTATTACTGTATTTGCTATTCTTTTTTAAAAAGTTATATTTTATTGATTATGCTATTAGAGTTGTCCTGACTTTCCCTTCTGTCTCCCTCTCCAACCGGCGCCCTCTACGCCCTCAGGCAATCCCCCCACCATTGTCCAAGTCCTTCTTTGGTTACTCCATTTGCATCCCCATGGCTACTCTGTACCTACCTATTTGCACTTCTCCATCCCCTTGCCTCTTCACCCATCTCTCCTCCCTCCTCCCATCCTGCAACTAACTTCTTTTGCTGCTTTTAAGATCCTTTCTTTATCTTTAACCTTTGGCCTTAAAATTACATTTCTTGGAGGAGTGGGCCTCTTTGCATCCATAATAACTGGGACTCTCTGCTTTATGGACTTGCAAGTCTATTTATTTCCTTCACCAACTTAGGGAAGTTTTCTTTCACTATTTTTTCAGACAGATTTCCAATTTCTTGCTCCTTCTCTTCTGCTTTGGCACCCCTATGATGTGAATGTTGGCTCTCTGAAAAGTTGTCCCAGAGGTTGCTTTTTTTGGATTCTTTGTTTCTTCTTGTTGTTCTGTGTAATTTTTTTTTGGTTCCTTATGTTTCAAATCATTGATTTGATTCTCAGTTTCATACATTCTACTGTTGTTTCCCTGTAAATTGTTCTTTATTTCAATTATTATATCCTTCAGTTCTGACTGGGTCTTTTTTTATGCTGCTGAGGTCCTCACTGAGTTCCTTGAGCATCCTTATAAACAGTGCTTTAAACTCTGCATTTGATAGATTGCTTATCTCCATTCCATTTAGCTCTTTTTCTGGAGTTTTGATCTGTTCTTTCATTTGGGCCCTGTTTCTTTGTCTCCTCGTTTTGGCAGCCTCCCTGTGTTTGTTTCTATGTATTAGGTAGAGCTGCTTTGACTCCATATCTTGCAGCGTGGCCTAAAGTAGTAGGTGTCCTGTAGGGTCCAGTGGCACAGCCTTTCCGATCACCCAAGCAGGGTATTTGAGGTGTGGTTTTCATGTCGGCTGAATACACCCCTTTTCGTAGTTGAAACTTGGTTGCTGTTGCCAAATCAATGGGAGAGATTTACCCAGGCCAGCCAGCTGCAAGGACTGGCTGTGACCACTGACCACTAACCTCTGCCATCCATGGAGGATCAGCTGTGCAGGGGCACAGTGGTGGTGCTCTGACGTGGTCTATAGCTGTCCACTGGGTGCAATGGCCCTGGGGTCATTTTCCTGGGTGGTGCAGGCCAAGGTCAGTCCCCACCTGTGTTTTGCCAAGGGCACCTTGCCTGAGCTGGAAAGCAATCTGAGATGGCTGCTACTCATGCTGGACATGGAGATTCCCAGGTGAAGCCAAGCTGTGATTCTAATCTAGCTGCTGCTGGAGATCACTGAAGCCAGCTATTGCTCGTTTGGTAGGATTTAGGGGCCAAGACCAGCCATTCTTCTGCGAAAGTAGCTTGGGTGAGCCCATAAGTTGGGTGGGGTAGAGCCTCTATGGATGTTCAGGGTGGGTCACAGTGTTAGCCAGACTGATGAGAGTCTCAGGTATGGCACCAGCCTACTGGCTCTGTGGGGCTCAGCAAAGGGACCATGGCCTCTATTCACTATAAGCCAGACACTTCAGTCTCTCCCTATATACCACTGGTGCCCTTCAAGCTGTTACTGCAGTGCTGGAGCTAAGAGGGAGTGAGTCTGAGTAGGTGAGTCCGTGTGTGAATTCTTTATGAAGAACTGCTTGGGGCTCCAGCAGTGTCTTCCACCAACTCAATCCCTGCTGTTTCTACAGCCAGAAGTTGTGGGGACTTGTTTCCTGGCACTGGAATCCTGGGTTGGTGAACCTGGTGTGGGTCTGGGACTCCTTGCTCCCAAGACATCCCTCCCAAATTTTTATCCACGTGGGTGTGGGGCCAGCCTGTTCTGCGCCTGCACCCCTCCTACCAGTCTGGATGAATGTGGTTTCTTTAATTCCGTAATTGTCAGATTTCCTGATTTCTGTTGTTCCTGAGTGATATTGTTTTATATTTTAGTTGTACTTTTGACATGGTTGTGTGAAGAGGTGAGTCATGTCTGCCTACACCGCCATCTTGACCAGAAGTCTGTACTCACTATTCTTTACTCTTGATGTATTTGTATCAATAATTCACTGTTCTGATTACTATAAGTATATAATAAATCTTGAAATTGAGTAAAAACCTCCAATTCTCTTCTTCTTTAAGACTATTTTGGTTATTCTATGTTTTTATTTCCATACAATCCTTAGAATCAATGTGTCAATTATTATTTTAAAAATATCTGATGGGGCCTTTGCTGGTGAGGCTTAGTGGATTGAGCACAGGCCTGTGAACCAAAGGGTTGCCGGTTCAATTCCCAGTTAGGGCACATGCCTGGGTTGCAGACCAGGTCCCCAGTGGGGGCCACATGAAAGGCAACCACACACTGATGTTTCTCTCCCTCTCTTTCCCTCTCTTTAAAAATAAATAAATAAAATTTTTAAAAAAAGTTAAACACACATTTAGGATTGTTACAGCTTCCTAATGAACTGCCCCCTGTGCCATTATGAAGAATCCCCCTTTATCTCTGATACTACTCCTGATCTTTAAGCTATTTTGTCTGATATTCACTTATTTAACATAGTTTTGTCATGAGAGTTTGTGTAGTACATCATGCCTATTTCTTTTACTATCTTTCTTATAAACAGTGTATCTCTTATAAGCATCATACAGCCTGATATTGTTTTTTAAAAAATTAAGTTTGATAACCTCTGCCTTTTAACTAGAATGTTTAATTCCTTTACCCTTTACCAAAGTACATTTTTAAAAAACTTTCATAAAATTTTATTAATTTTTAGAGAGAGAGAGAGAAAAAAGAGAGAGATACATTGACTTGTTGTTCCACTTATTTATGCATTGTTTGATTTTTGTATGTGCCCCGATGGCAAGTTGAATCTGCAACCTTGGCATATCAGGATGATGTTCTAACCAAATGAGATACCCGGCCAGGGCCATTAAAATACATCTTTAAAAATCCTTTAGTCTGTCACCCATAATGCATGAAATACCCTCCTGGTTTTATGCTAACTATAAAATTCATAAGCATGCCTCTAAGTATTCATCAAACTCAGTGATTAAAAATTAATTTGTATAAAATACTGGAGACCTAAAAGAATCATTGTGCAATATGGTTTGATTATTTAACCAGCTACAATGTACCCAATCTGTTTGTTCAGCCAATATTCCTTCATCTAGCCTGTAACAGTATTATGAGGCTTAGCATGCCATGGCTGCTTTGCTGCTTGATACAGTATGAGATAATTAATTTTTCCTAAGCATCCATAAATTATCAAAGTCAACAATGACCTAATCTTTGCATATAACAATTATTTTAGCTTAAAATAAATAGTGCTTTAATGCCATCTGATACATCATTCCTTTCAATGTATGATAGTAACTCTTCCCCCATAATCTTGCCAAAAAAGAATATACTCAAGTTTTTGGGTTTTGTCAGACTGACAGTGAAAAATGGTGTCTTGATGTAGATTTAATTTGTATATCTCTTATTATAAGCAAGATTTAAACATCTTCCCCCATTTAAGGGCCATCTGTATTTCTTTCTTTCTTTTCTTTCTTTCTTTTTTTGAAAAAGGGAAAGTTAGTTTTTAACCCTTGCTCATTTTTCTGTTGGGTTGTAGTCATTTTTAAAAACTCTATAAGGATATTAACCCTTCATGATATAAATTACAAATAAAACTGTAGAAAAACTATAACAATATATGAAAATTAAAGTGGAAATTTTTTCTCCCTAATCAAATAGCAATAGTGTAATCCTAAATTATTTAAACTTTGATTTAAAATCAGAATACTAGGCCCAGCTGGGTAGCTCAGTTGGTTAGAGCATTGTTCTGATAGGCCAAGGTTGGGGGTTTGATCCCTGGTTAGGGCACATACAAGAATTCAACCAATGAGTGCATAAATAAGCGGAACAACAAATCAATGTTTCTCTCTACCTCCTCCCCTCAAATCAATTTTAAAAAATTCAGAATACTAGGAACCAAAAATGAAAACAAGACACATGGTTTAAAATCTGGCTTAATTTGTGCCAACACAAACTCTGCGTTAAATCCTTTTCTATAGAACATCTGTTGCCTTAATCAACACCACAGTTTTCCTACTTACTTAACAACTTTTAAATATATATTCTCAAATTAGCTGCTCCACAAATTATCCCATCAATACAGAAATCAAACAATCTAAAAAGAATTGCCACTGCAAAAATTACTCAACTAACACAGAAAGGGCAACTAAAATCCTCTGCACCTTTGTGATACCTAAAAAATACTAACCAGCAACCCCTAGTAGTTTTAAAATTGGATAAAATCATTCACAAGGAACATATATTTCACCACCACAAAATACTTTAATTAGAGGGGGAGGCTCTGAAGAATGGCAGAGCAGTATTTACTATACAGACACTATGTACTAGACCCTGACCAAATGCTTTATACATACATATATTACGTCATGCAAACTTCACAGTAATGTAGGAAGTCAAGTATTGGCTTAGCCGAAAAGTCTGTTTAGTTTTTTCCATAAAATAAAAGACACATTTTATTGATTTGGATATTTTCAGTATGTTGGCTATCTCCCAGGGGTGCTGCTAAACATCTTCCAATGCAGAAGACAGCTCCATAGCAAAGAATTATTTGGACAAAATGTCAACAGTACCAAGAAACTTGGCAAACCACTTTTGACATGTTCCATCAGTCACAGCACCTTCTTCACACACTGCACAAATTTTTGTGTTTCAGCTGTTTTTACCTTTCTTGAAATAAAGCATAATATGCCGAAAATGTTGTGTATTTTCTTCTATCTTCAGTATTAAAATGGCCGCACAAATATTCACTAATTTTGCTAAGTTAAAAAAAAAAAAAAAGCACACTGATGTGACAGCTGTCATAATACAATCTAACAAAATTGTTTCAAATGAAGTTATGGACAACTAAGCACTACTAGAGCCATCATATGGAAAAAACTAAATGTGCTTTTTGGCCATCTCAATACAATAATAATAATCCCAGCACTAGCCAACTATTCAATTTAGTGAAAGGAATTTCAAAAGAATAATATAATTTGCAACGGTCTCTTATTTGAATCCTAAGAATAGGGTTTTAATAGTTACAGCTAACATAGAATATATACAGATTTAACATGTATAATTAACATTGCTCTTACTACTTAAATAGGTGTAGGAGGTTACATTATTTCGCCTATTAAAGAATAAGTTTAAAAGGAATTAAATATTTACAATTTTTAATTTGAAACATGTCAAACCTAAGTCAAAAATTGAAAGTGTACACCTGAATACTGATGTATTCCTTATCTAGCTTCACCGACTGCTAACATCTCGCCAGGACTATTCTGTTTCTTCATTTCTTTATATCATGAAGTACACACTTCTCTTTTGTCTGGATAGAGTACAATCACCCTTAAATACTTCAAACCATTAGTCCAAAACAAAAACATTCTCCTCTAAGAAAATTAACAGTAACACCATCCAACATTTAGTCTGTATTCAGTGTTTCTCAGTAGTCCCTATGACATTTTTAAAAAAGATTTTATTTATTTATTTTTTTAGAGAGAGAAAAGGGAGGGAGAGAGAGAGAGAGAGAGAAACATCAATGTGCCGTTGCTGGGGGTTATGGCCTGCAACCCAGGCATGTACCCTGGCTGGGAATTGAACCTGCGACACTCCTATGACATTCTTTATATCATCATTTTATAAAAATCCAGATCCATGCCCTGGTTGGAGTAGCTCAGTGGATTGGGCGATAGCCTGTGAACCAAAGGATCAAATTCCCTGTGAACTGGGAATTTGATTCCCAGTCAGAACACATGCCTGGGGTGCAAGAGAGGCAACCACACATTGACATTTCTCTCCCTTTCCCCCTCCCTTCGCCTATGTCTAAAAATAAATAAACAATCTCTTTAAAAAAACTTGAAAAAAATTCAATGAAATTTGATAATGGGTTATATCTAGTTTTTAAAAAGTATATTCCGAGAGGCTGTTTTATTTAATGAGTTGAAAGAGAAACATCAATTTTGTTGTTCCATTTATTTATGCATTCATTGGTCATAAACTTGGTGTATCAACCAACTGAGCTACGTGACCAGGACCGAGAGATGACCATTTTAGAATCACTAGTCAATAAGGACATTAAATAAAGCCTTTAATACAAAAGGCTTTACCATAAAGGAACACCAAATGAAATATCTAAAAATTTGTGGTAAGAAAAAAGAAAAAGATAAAAGCTAAACGTACCAACACCAACAGCACCAAACTGTTGCCCAACTAATGAACTTGGACTGAACTGACTGTAAGTTGACATCCTGCCAAAAGGTCCATAGGAACCCACTGACTGGAATGAAGAAGTAGACGAGCCTAGTGAAGACTGAAGAAAAATTGTGGGTTATTTTTCCAGGCTCTAAACAACATACATATAATGGAAAGAAATTTAGATATTTACATTTTTAAGAAAACTATTAAATTATAACTACTAGGTACAAAAGCAATTATAACTTAAAAGATACATTTAACATCACAACAGTTGAATAACCTTCTAATTTCACAATTTATATATACAGTTGACCCTTGAACAACAGGAGTTTGAACTGTGGTCTACTTACATGCAAATTTTTTTCAGTAAATATAGTTGGTGCTCTGTATCTCTGGTTGGTTGAAACCACAAATGGGGAGGGCCAACTGTATACATCGTTCTAAGACATTTTATATAAAGGACTTGAACACCCATGGATTTTAGTATCTACAGGTGGTCCCAGAACCAACCCCTTGTGCAATCTGATGGACAACTGTACTTAAGTTTTGGGGGAGTCAAAATCCACGTTTTAAATTTTACATGTGGATTTTTGACTGTGTGGGGGTTAGTGTCTCTGAGTTCTTTGTTGTTCAAGGGTCTACTGTATGTGCCAATTATACTCACTATGATTTATAAAAACTTTTTTCTACAATAAACTCTTCCTTTGAGTAAAGTGTTTTATAGTAGATTTAGGAAGAACTGAAGAAATGTTATTTGAATATCAAGTAAAATAACTGCTTAAAAATATATAAGAAAAATCATAATTGGTTATCATGAGTTTTAAGTCTGGTGCTGACAAATAAGATATCTCACTTTTGATTTTACTCTTATTTTTGATTATTTGAGGTATACTACTAAGTTTACAAGGAAGAGATGCAAAAACAAACTATCCCACATAAAAGTTTACATTTTTAAATATAGTTCCATTAAGTTAAAAATTAAAAAATCTTAACTTACGGAACCTGAAACATAATTTAATATGTATATATTAAAAAGTTTACATATAAACTTATCTTAATATATTTCATAATATAAATATGAAGTATATATACTCATAACTACTAGGACATAAGCTCACTGATGGCAAGACCTTGTATTTGTATTCACTGCTAGTATTAGGTGCTCAATAAATACTACCAAAAGGATGAGTCAAAATATATGTCAGTTAAGAAGTTACTCAATACCATTTTGATCTTTGCTCTTGATTTTTCTCATTCCATAAAGCTGATTACTTAAATAACTGGTTCCCTGGAGAATTACTCTGTCTGTCTGTCTGTCTGTCTATCTATCTATCTATCTATCTATCTATCTATCATCTGACAGGTACCACCACTCTTTGGTGTAAGCCAGAGATTTTAAACCTTTTTCATCTCCTGGCACATATAAACTAATTACTAAAATTCTGCAGTGCATCAAAATTATCTATTTTTTGCCTATCTGACCCCCCCAAAAGAAGTATAATTTTGATCCATTCATACTGGATGGCTACTGTTAAGTTGGCTGTTGTCATTTTTAAATTTGACAATACTAGGAAAAAGAGGTCAGTGTCCCTAAGTCAGGTATTGTAAGTTTTAAAAAGTCTTGTGACACACGGGTTGAAAGTCGTCGGTATTGGCTGCTATTTCTATTAGAATGTGTCTCTACTACCTCCATTTAAAAAGTTCGGTTTTCTCAGGATTCCTTCACATTTACATCCTCAAAAGTAAGACTTAAAAAGAGGAGGATAGATGCAATTAAAGAATTTCTCCAGTTTGTTACAACAATCAAATTCACCACTTCTTATTAAAAAGCTTATCTTATATTCAGCAAAAATGAATAGTAAATAAATGTTAAAAGGTCTTTTTCCTCCTTTAATTTCATATTAGAAGAGTTTATGAGATATTTTAATAACTAGAAGACAAAGCCTATGCAAGATATTACAAGGCCCAGCAGAAGTAACACATGCTTGAGTGTGGTTGGTAGGGTAATAATATGGGTGTAATAATATATAGTTTTAACTTGAACATTTCACCTACAATGCCATATGGTGTGCTTGAATGTGATTTTGTTATGTTACAGGATTACATGCTTATGATTTTATAATTAAAAAAGGGATGTTATTCATGCCCTACCCTGTATATATATTAAGATTCTGTTTTGTGGAAAACTAAGATTTTATCACTCAGCACAAAACAGGAAAGTTGATTTAAATGTATTACACTAATAAATTAATAAACATATTTTAGTGTGAAGACTTCTAATAAAGAAAAAGGCTGAGAAGGAAATGGATTCAGAGGAAAACTAAGGAGGTCACAAGCTTTTAATCAGCTTTGCCCTCAAATAAAAATACTGTATTTTTAGGACCGTAAGACGCATTTAGGTTTTAGAAGAGGAAAATAGGAAAAAAAATTGAAGCAAAAAATGTGGTAAAATATTTAATAACATGTGACCCTGCTCTACCACCCCCACCCCCACAGCAAGCCAGGTAAGCTACATTCAGACTATAAGACACACCCCCATTTCTGCCCAAATTTGGGGAGGTGCGTCTTATAGTCCAAAAAAGGGTACTCTTATGTGAATCTGCTTCCTCTGCTGTTATAGCTGACAATTTTTTTCATCCATAAATACTTTAATTATTCTATTTTAACATAAAATTTCATAGCTTAAATCTTATTAAGTGATTCATTGGATGCTGGAAAGATTAAACAAAATAAGGAGATTAGGCTAAAAAGTTAGGTCTTGTTATAAATAGGTGGTTCTGCCTTCAACAAGTTTACACTTGACCTGGAAAAATTGACCACTGATAGAAAATAAGACTGCACAGAATTAAAGGTTACACTGCCCAAGACACAATGCCAAAAGGCAGCTAGTGTATATTCTGTTTTAAGACCTGAATCCTGGGTGTGTCTTCTGTGCAGGAATCCAAGAGAGAGAGCTGGCTCTCTGAACCCTGACAGACAATTTCTATATGCTTCCAATTAAAATGTAAACAGGTACTATAATGGACACCCTGTTTAATCCATAATTTAAAATCTTTTAGACATCATGTGCTTCTGTTTTTAATAAAACACACAATTCTTTTAGTTCTTTTACTGAGAACATTTAGTCTTCTTTTTTAATGCCTTATTTAGGGAACTGAACATGGCTGTATGTTAAACTTTTTTTATGTTTGGCTATTTTCTAAAATGCATGTATAGTAATACATACATATATACATACATACATATATACATAAAATACACAATATAGAGTGATTTAGCTTCCCCCATCCCCTTAAATCTAATACTCTTACCAAAGAGTAGTCATTACCACCCTTGTTTTCTATTATGAACCATATGAGAATTAATATAGTGCATGGATCTTGGATTCCAGAGCCAGACTGCCTGGGTGCATTCAGATTGTGGCTCTATTGCAATCTCACTTGTAAACACTGAGAATAATTATAATACCAAACTCAGAGGGTATTGATAGTGCTTCTCATATAATTAGACCTCAATAAAGGTTAGGTATTTTAACTGTTTTTAAAGGAAATATTTTATGATATAGATGAAAACATTATCCAGGTATTTTAGATATCTAGGGAACTGGAAAATGGTCAACTATATGAGCATTCAACTGAGAAAATTTAAAAACCTAAAAACCCAGGGAGGGGCAAAAGCCATGACTAACCATGTATGTATTAAGTTTACTTGAACTCCAAGACAAATTTACTATGAGTTACCTGAACAATAGCTGGGTCTTGAGGCAAGGAACATTGTGGTTTTGGTGGTTCACAAACAGTGAGGTCTTTAATATCACTTCCACGGAATATAATATATTCAAAGACTTCATCTCGAGGTGGTATTGGACGATCTGTTGGTCTGTCTTCTGTACCAAAGGACCGCACTGGTAAGAAAACAGAAAATATGAGACGTGCCTACTTATCATATTCACGTAGTACCTCTTATAAGTCTACTGTTCCAAGTACTAAGCAGCAGTTCTTAAATGTCATACATGAGAAAGTATTCATTAATCTGTAGCTAATTTTTTTAAAAAAAGAGGAAAATGAGTGGGTTTTGCCTAGAGCTATAAATGTATTGTTTAAAAGACTGTATTACAATGTGGTGTTCTTTCTACATTTATATCTTTGGTACTCGTGGTAAGAGGAAGTGTTATAATGTCCTTTCTTTCATTGTTGATTTGTTTTTAATGTCCTCATTCAGCAAAATAAAAAAAAATTGGAAACCTGTGTGTGTGTGTGGGGGGGCAGAGCGGTGAGGGGCAGTGTGTGAAGATTTACCTAGTCCACTAAATCCCAAAGTTTGGGAAACTAAACTTTGGGATTAAGAGAAGACAACGAAGGGAACATCTATCTTGGTGAGTAGTAGGTCACCTGGAGCTGAGCCAAGCAGCTATCAGCTATTCAGCCCCTTGGGACAGCCTGAAATGCTCTTGTCACCTAAATTATGTATCTCAAAATTAAATGTGATTATTTTAACACTTAAGATAATAGCATCACTCAAAGTGAAATAGTGGACCACCTGTATCAGGGTAAACTAAAAAGACTTCTGGGATCCTATTCAAATATACTGAATCAGATTTTCTGGATGGAGGGTCTACAAATCTGAACAGTTCCCCAACAGTTTCTTATGACTATTAAAGTTGCATGTTCACTGTCTTAGGAAACTTCTGAAAGTTTCCATAGAAGTAGTTCCAGATAAGAAAGTTTGAAAAATCATATATTGTCCATTTAAAGAGCGTTCTAGAGGAGTAAACCCCTCAACATTGTAGAAAGTTTAGAATGTATACATTTTCCCACAGAACTGATCCAGAGCTAGAGTGAAGGTAAATATTATTTGTTTAAATAATGCCCTTTTTAACCCTAAAAATTCTTTCTTGTCCTTACAAGACTTCCAAGGAAGATTGTAGGCACAAGTATAGGTTTGCTGAAAAGTATTCTTCCTGAAAACTATACAAAATAAACAACAAAGTTAAAAATACCCCTACTCTAGGAAATGATCTCAAACACATGCCATGAAATTTTGTTACAAGGTATCACCAGATGCTAGGATTCAATGGAAGGTGAATCCTAGAAACCATATGTAACATGCCCTTAAAAATTTTTACAGGCATCCACCAACTTGGTGGATGGGGATAGAAACCCAGATGTGATAAGACAGAAAACATGGATAAACAGTGGAAACTCCCCTTCCCCGGTTGCCAAACACTACTTTATCGGGGCAGGAGTAAGTAAGTGACAAGGTTCTACATTTTGTCCTTTATCCAAAAGGAGGGCTAAATATAAGAGTGGAAAAAAGGCAGAGACTTCCCGCCAAGATGGAAGTGAAGGTAGATGCACTGTACCTCCTTGCACAACCAAAATAAAGACAACAACAATTCAGAAAAAAAATAACCAGAACTAAGAGAAAATTGAACTGTATGGAAGTTCCACAAAGAAGGAGCTAAAATAGACACATTCATCCAGACCAGTAGGTGGGGCGGAGTCAGACAGCTGGGCTGAAAGGGGTCGAGGTACAAAAAGCAGTGACACTGGGTGTGCAAGGCACCCCAGAAGTGCAAAACGGCAGCGGGAAGACCCTGGGCACACAAGTGGCAGCTGGCAGACCCTGGGTGTGGGGTGACAACGGGCAGACCCAGTGAAGCGGCAATTATGAAGTGAGACACTGCTAGCAAGGAGGCTGGCTGAGTGGGAGGTCCCACATTTGCGCACATTTAAACCAGGTGAAACTGGGGAGCGAGACTGAGCAACCCAGGGTCCCAGCATCAGGAAATAAAGCCTCAAAACACTGACTGAAAACACCTGTGGGGGTTGAGGTGCAGGGAGAGACTCCCAGCATCACAGGAGAGTTTGTTGGAGAAACCCACAGGGTCCTAGAATGTACACAAACCCACATATGTGGGAATCAGCAACAGAAAGTCCCAGTGTGCTTGGGGGAAGCGGTGGAAGGGATTGAAGTTTGACAGAGAGCGGAGCAAGTGCCATTGTTCCCTCTCAGACCGTGCCCCCACATACAACGCCACAACCCAGCAACTGGGTTGCCTCATCCTGTCATTTTGTTCTTTGTTACCTAAATTATGAACACCTAAGGCTCCGCCCCTCATATGTAGCAGGCACGACAAGACCAGTAAAGGACCAAATGGAAGAACAGATCAAAGCTCCACAGCAAATACAACTAAGCGACTGAGAGAGATCCAACCTATCAGATGCATAGTTCAAAGCACTGGTGATCAGGATGCTCACAGAATTGGTTGAATTTGGTCACAAATTAGATGGAAAAATGAAGGCTACGCTAAGTGAAATGAAGGAAAATGCACAGGGAATCAATAGTGATGGGAAGGAAACTGGGATTCCAATCAATGGAGTGGACCAGAAGGAAGAAACCACCAAACAGAAAAGAATGAAGAACAAGAATTCAAAAAAAGGAGGAGAGTCTTAGGAACCTCCAGGATACCCTGAAATGTTCCAACATCCAAATTATAGGGGTACCAGAAGGGGAAGTGGAAGAGCAACAAGTGGAAAAGTTATTTGAACAAATAATAAGGGAGAACTTCCCCACTCTGGCAAAAGAAATAGACTTTCAGGGAGTCCAGGAAGCTCAGAGAGTCCCAAAGAAGTTGGACCTAAGGAGGAACATACCAAGGTGTATCATAATTACATTAGACAAGGTAAAAATGAAGGAGAGAATCCTAGAAGCAGCAAGAGATAAGGGGACAGTAACCTACAAAGGAGTTCCCATCAGACTGTCAGCTGATTTCTCAACAGAGACCTTGCAGGCAAGAAGGGGCTGGAAAGAAGTATTCCAAGTCATGAAAGGCAAGGACCTACATCCAAGATTGCTCTATCCAGCAAAGCTTTCATTTAGAATGGAGGGGCAGATAAAGTGCTTCTCAGATAAGGTCGATTTAAGGGAGTTCATCATCACCAAGCCCTTATTTTATGAAATGTTAAAGGGACTTATCTAAGAAAAAGAAGATACAAAGCATTGCAGGTTCGATTCCCAGTCAGGGCACATGCCTGGGTTGCAGGCCATGGCCCCCAGCAACCACACATTGATGTTTCTCCCTCCCTCCCTCCCTCCCTCCCTCCCTCCCTCCCTCCCTCCCTCCCTCCCTCTCCCCCCCCACCCTCCTTCCCTCTCTAAAAATAAATAAATAAATAAAAGATCAAAAACATGTATAGGAAAATGACACCAAACACAATTATTAACAACCACACCTAAAACAACAAAAAGAAACTAAGCAAACAACTAGAACAGGAACAGAACCACAGAAATGGAGATCACATGGAGGGTTAGCAACAGGAGAGTGGGGGAAAAGGTAGAGAGAGTAAGTAGCATAGATGGTAGGTAGAAAATAGACAGGAGGAGGGTAAGAACAGTATGGGAAATGTGTAAGTTAAAGAACTTATATCACATATGGACATGAACTAATGGGGGGAATGTGGGTGGGAGGGGGTGTGAAGGGTAGAGGAGAATGAAGGTGGGGAAATGGGATAACTGTTAATAGTATAATCAATAATATATATATTTTTAAAAAGCAGAACAAGATTACAAATAAATCAATCTCCCTCTTAACATCAGCAGCAGCAGCAGCACCACCACCACCACCACCACCACCAATGTATAATGTCCCAGCCCTCCAAAGTAATTGATTAGCTCATCCCGAAGCTGAGGAGGGGTAAAGTCAAAGGCCGCCCCCCCCCATAAAATAATAGAGAAGCTCCATTAGTTTCCCACAGCTTATCAAATCTATAACCACATATTCAAAAGATTGCTTTATATTCTCAAGAAAAATAAAACTTTTATGATCAAAATAACACTAAAATGAAAAGGTAGCATACAGAGTTAAAAGAAAAAAAGATAACACAAATATATATAACAGCAGAACTAACTCTTAAGTACATACCAACAACAGAACAGTCAAAGCAGTAAAACCAATGCATTAACGGTGTTGAGAGAAGCAAACAAAATGTAAAGAAAAAGTCAGCAATCGGATAGTTAGAAAATGATTTTTTGTAGACCTAATAGTTAATTGCTATCTGAGAAAGACAAGAAAATAAATAAGAACAAATATAATGAAAGATAGAGCAGAAATTTCCTGACATGAAGACCTAAATTTGATCACAAGGTTTCACTGTACTTCCAGAAAAAAATTTAGTGCACTATAAGACATATGGGGACTCATCCTTTGCTATATCCAGACAAACAACTCAGAGAAACAGTGGTACCAAAAGTAAGAAATGAACAATAAGTTCATTTAAGCACATAAACATATGTGACAATTTACTATGGTCCTAGAACAAATTGTAACTTTAATAGTGCTGAAAAAAGGCTATAGTTACAAAGTGTGACCAGGTAAGTCAGGTCTGTCTTAGGAGACTTCTGAATCCTACATCACAGTAGCACATAATATTCTAATAAGAATTGTGAGATGACAATGAGTGGAAGAGAAAAACATAAAAGGTAATACAAAAACTAATACTCTCATCTTTCATAGAGAGTCACTGATAAAAATCACATCAGTACAGTCAGAAATCACATTGTTTCACCCAATTTCCCCTAACCTATTGTTTATTTTTTGCACTTGTAGGTAACAATAGCTAATAAGAGCAAGCCATGTTAAGAATAGTGTAAGATGCCCACACACCAAATTTCTTCTTGGCTCAATCTGTCTACATATTCAGTCTTACAAGTATTTCTTGCATGGTTCTCCCTGTAACAGGGTGCAGCCAGGAGAGGGGCCCCAAACAGGGATTTGGAATGGGGTCCAGAACTCAGGGGTGTCCAGACTTCCCCACCAAGATGTAACTGGGAGGCAGGTCCCCTGAGTTACAGTGCCTGCATGGGGCTTGGAGAAGATTGGCTCCATGACATGGGGCCACGCCA